ACAGCAAGCCACAGAGTAAGAGTAAGATTTACAGAAGTAAGAGAACGGGGAAACACCCAGGGGGAAAAGGTAGATGGGATAAGTTAAGAAAAGCTGGCTAGCAACAAGCCAAGCTAAGGCTGGGCATTCATACTTAAGACTAAGCCTCTGTGTGTGATTTATTTGGGAGCTGTGTAGCGGGCCCTCAAAAGAGTAAAAAACCAACCACAATAGGCAGGTGGATCACTCATCTGTTCTTCTGACTTGTGTGGCCTGTACCTGAACAGCCAAAGTTCACTGCAGTTCAAGTTTGGTCTCTCTTAAGGGCCTGCCTGTCTTGGTATACTGACCAATGCCTTTATGTATAATATGAGAGGGTCTTTTGTGTTTATGTGTATCTATGTGTATTCACATGTGCAGGTAGAGGTCAGAGAACAACCTTGTGTATTGTTCCTCAGGCACTGTTCAACCTGGCTTTTTGTTGCTGTTATTGTGACAATCTCTCACTGGCCTGGAACCCAGCAAGCGTGCTGGAGTGACTGACCAGGGAGTCCTAGGAATCCACCTATCCTGACCTCCCTGGTGCTGAGAGAACAACTATGTACCACCATGCCTGTGTTTTTTATGTGGATTCTGGGACTCAAACTTGGGTTCTCATGCTTGCAAGGCAAGCCCTTTACCAACTGAGCCATGGTCCCAGACACAAGAGAAGGTTCTGGACCTCCTGAGTAACCTCCCTACAAAGCAAAGCTTCTGGCCCTCAATAGAATTACTTGCTGTGATTTATACTTATTTTAGTGTGTTCTTCATGCTTTTTAAACAAAATCAAGAAACTGAAACTCCTCACAAGTCTGTGTTATTTTAAATGTTTTATAATCACTTTGATAAGCACACAACCCACAATTATTCAGACAGGTGTGATCTAATCCTGATCAAGGTCCAGATCTCCTCTGACAAGGAGATTTTTGCCTTCCATAGAGTTTATATTATATACATATCACATATATGGTATATATAGCATACATGGTATATATGTGTATACATACACGCATATATACATATATACATATATTTGTGTGTGTGTGTGTGTGTGTGTGTATAATTGTCTACATCTGTCTTTGAAAATCCAACTGGAAAAGGCCATTACAAAAATCTGTTCTTGAGGCAGGCAGATCTCTGTAAGTTCGAGGACAGCCTGGATTATAAACTGAGTTCCAGGAAAGGTTCAAAGCTATACAGAAAAACCCTGTCTTGATTTAAAAAAAAAATCTGTTCTTTAACTTAAAAAAAAAAGAGACAGATAATAAAAATAAATAAATAAATAAATAAATAAATAAATAAATACCGTACGTTCGCTATTCCAAGATTTGCTTATTCTAAGAGCTACATTAGGAGCTGTCACATCAGAAGGGCTTCTTGTCTGCCCCTGCCTGTGACAGTGTCCTGCAGCTGACTAGAAGGAGCCCTGTTTGGACCATCACAAACATGACCTTGTTTTCCTCTTTTGTCTTAGAGCACCTGCGTGGTAAGAGGGCTCCAGAGTCCAGAGGGTTAAGGACACAGTTCAGTGATGGAAGGGAGCACAAAGAACTTTCCCCTGAATACTTTCTCTCCTCCCATGATTCTAGACACAGCATTTCATAGGTTTTCCTTCTCTAGGTGACCAGTGTGACCTTTCTAAGCCACAGAGAATCAGGCACTAGGATGAGTAGAAGAATGGATAAATTAGCATATGGAGGGATAGAAGTTAGATAGCTAGATAGCTAGATAGCTAGATAGATGATAGATAGATAGATAGATAGATAGATAGATAGATAGATAGATAGATAGATAGATATAGATGATTGATGATATATAGATAGAATTGGTACAGACACTCGACTTTCTACAACTGCAATCAATCCCTTTAATGCTGTCACTGCCACACCTGGGGATGTGTTATATTTCAAGGCCTCCTTAAAGATTGTTAGGAGGGGAAGGTAGTGACAAAGTGAAGGAGAGCAAGGAAAAGCTGGAACCCACAAGACGCTCTGGGGCCTGCATGAGCCCTGATGGCAAGGCATCCCACAGCAGCTGGCCTTTGGACACAGAGGGAGAGCCAGTATTCCACATGAAATCTGTGGCTTTCTCAGCGTCTCACTGCCACACTTTCAGGCCATTGCTTTTTCCATACTGTAGCTGATCCCCAGATTTATACGGGGACTTCGTCAAGGAGAGGAATGGCAACTCAACTTGGGGGAGTGTTCTTCCTGCCTCCCTGAGTATTCTCTCCTCTTCTTGGCTTGTGGGAATTTTGTCTGCCTTATGCAGAGGGAGAATGTCTGCTTGGCAGACAATCTTCTAAAATCCTCGGCCACCCTTTGGACAGTGTCTTTCAATCTATGAAACTCTGTGGTACCTCTTTTCCTCTGGCCATTCTTGAATCTTTGCCTGGGAAGATGTAGGCTCCCAGGAGGCTGTCAGGGTAGGAAAGAAGAGTGTACGTGGAAGGTGGAAAGATGGCAAGCAGCCTGGATAAATGGCTAAGGGAAAGATTTGCTTATCGTTAATATTTCAGAATCTCCCCTGGCTACACAAAGTATTCTGAAGGAGGGAAATACTTCCAACAATTATTTTTACTCCTTTGTAGTAAAGAAACAAACCACTTTCCCAATACGCCCCCATACACACAAACACAGGCACCTCACTCAAATCATCCCAACTATTGTACTGGACTTTGAACTCAGCATCCAGACACAGCTTCTGGATGAAGAAACTGCCATAGACCTAGCCAGGTGTGCCGGGAATTCAAGGTGCTGACCGCTAACGTGACCCGGGCCTTTCTTTTAGCATCTCTCACCCTAAAGCACAAACTGTCTTCATCTTCCCATAGAAGTGACAAATGCCCAACACTTGGATCTCTTCTCTTGTGACATTCCCACTCCTAGTGAGGAAATCCATCTAGGTCAACCTGTCACTTTGTGTCTCCCCAGTGGAGCTGCAGGTCATGGAGAGTCAACGGAAACATGATCCCTGATGTAGAGTTTTTGCTCTGGGTAGTAAAACCTACCATCTCCAACCCAAATACAGTAATACGACCAAAAACTCAGACCATCTTACCAAGTAGGAGGAAAACTCAGGCACTGACAGTTCTTTTCGATGCTGGCCTCTCAAGGTCTTCTCCAAAATGCACAGTGACCATTTGTTAATTTACATGATATACAGATATAATTTAAAATACATTATATATATATATATATATATATATAGTGTGTGATTATATGTGGGGGATATGGTTTTGTATGTGTGATTGAGTGAAAGTGTGTGAGAGCACACCTGCCTGTGCCTGTGCCTTTAAACATATTTGAATACTTGGTCCATAGCTGATTTAACTGTTTTCGAGGGGTTATGAGGTGAGGCCTTGTTGGAGGAGGTATGGCATCAGGAGTGGGCTTCAATGTTTCAAAAAGCCCACAAAACTCACAGTTCTCTCTCTCATCTCTCTCTCATCTCTCTCTCTCTCTCTCTCTCTCTCTCTCTCTCTCTCTCTCTCTCTCTCTCTCCCCCTCCCTCCCTCTCTCTCTCTCTCTGCGTCCTGGTTATTGTCTCAATACATAACCTCTCAGCTACTGCTCTGGTGCCATGCCTGCCTGCCACCATGCTCCCTGCCGTGATGATCATGGACTCTATCTAATGGGGATTCCCACCTCCAAATTAAATGCTTTCTTTTAGAAGCCGCCTTGGTCATGGTGTTTTGTTATGGCAATAGAAAAGTAACTAAGACACTATGTGAGTCAGAGGTCAATATCAGATGTTTTCCTCCATCACTCACACCTCTCTTCTTTTGCAGGGGCCAGGGCAGATTCTGTCACCGAACCTGGAGCTCACACAAGACTAGACTGCCAGCAAGTCGCAGAGATCCATCTGTCTCCACCTCCCAGTGCTGGGCTCACAGATACCCAGTGCTGTGCTTGGCTGTTTACACGGGTGTTGAGGATCCAAACATGGATGCTTATGATTTCACAGCGGGCACTTTACCAGTGTAGCCGTCCTTCCCCAAGAAGCCCCACATTGATCACATTGACCAATGACCCTTAGTTACGTGTGACCTTCACTAAGAATCTGCCACTTAGCGTAGAGGCTAAGGATATGCTTCAGTGGGGGAAAATCCTCACAGCATCCAAGAGGCCCTGAGTTCTAGCTCCACTTCAAGAAAAAAAAAATAAGCAGATAACAGTGGGAAACAGAAGCCAGCCATGATACCTTGCCTCATGACACAGCAGTGGGCATCAATACCATGAACAAATATGTGATGGAGAGATGGGAAAGGTAGAAAAATGGAGCAGTACCATGGGCTGTGGAGAGAGACAGAACTGGAGATGCGGGGTCAACGACAGGTATGAGACAGGGCTAAGGTTGACATGTTGTCATCGCCCAGTAGGGACAGCAGGGTGGTGTGCAGCAGCCTGGAGCTGACACAGACTCAGGCTTCAGACATACTGCCTGGCTGTGGGATCACCCTGGCTCTGGGCAACAATGGAGGCCCATGATGAGGAGCTGTTCACTTTCTGGATTGGACTTCCTCCAAGGACCATTGTGCTCCCTGCTGCCACCAGAGGCTACATTGGTGTATGTGGTCCATGCTGCTGCCCCAGGCCATGATGAAGCCCAAGATCCACGCAGAAGAACACAGTCTGTGCTGCTGACTGAAGCCTTCGTGATGTCCCTGGGGTTTGTTGTCTAGGGGGGAGGGGGTGGCTTGTGGATGTGTTGTAGCCACCCAAAGCCATGTTGAGGCCCATGGTCCATGCTGCTGCTGAGGTCAGTAGTCTTGATAAGGCTGGGGGCCGTGTTGATGTCTGTGACCTACATTACCACTGAGGGTCATTTGGCTATCCGTAGTCTGTGCTGCAATCTCAAGCCGTGTTCATGTCTGTGGACCATGTTGCCACCAGGGACCATATTGATGTGAGTGGCCGGTACTGCCACCTGAGTTCATGTGAGTTGCCTCCAAGGGTCTTGTCTGTGGTCTGTTGCAGCTGAGGGTCATGTTCCTGCTTTGTGATGTCACCAGAAACCATGTGGAAGCCCATGATCCATGCTCTCACTGACTGGAAAGATCAAGGAAGCTGCTTTTGCGGTGACATCGATGACTGAAGACACACAGTTGAGAAAGGGGGACATAGAAGGCTTCTGTGACAACCCCTATCCCATCCTCATCCAAGTAACAGCCTAAACAGGAAGCCATCGAAGAGAACTCTTTAAACATATGATAAAGATGCTGAAATGTAGCTCTCCACAATTGATGACTTCTGGCAGGAGGTGAGAGAGAGGAGGACTCAGTTCTACTTAAGGGACAGGCCACTGAGAGTTTGACTATGTTCTAACACATATATAGATAATACAAAATGGATTTTTTCTAAATTTTCTATTTTTTTATTTTAATTTTTATTTCTGGGGGGTGGGAGGTCACAAGAATGAGGGGGCAGACATGGAGAGAGTGTGATCAGAGTGCATGATGTGAAATTCTCAAAGAATCAATAAAAATGTTATGTTGAAAAAATAATAAACAGAGAAGGAAAAAGAAGAAAGGAGAAGGAGAAAAAAGGAGAAGCTGCAGGTGGTAGCACACCAAAGCAGTGTAGAATTTCATGGCTCACCTACCTCTGACTAATTCGGGAGGCACCTGTGCCTAGAAACCAAAATCAACGTAGTCAGGACCCTAGTAGCCTGCCCCACCCAAAGGGCTCATGGTTCCTTTGAGCTGAGATCTTGATCTGTGGGAGAAGCATCCACCCATCCAATCCCACTTCTTAACCTACTGCTAGAAAACACCATTCCCAGACTCCACACAGACCTTCCAGACAAGTCTTCAAACCTAATTAAGCTTAGCATTATTATTGTTTTTATCACATCAAGTTCCCACTTGGCCCTCAGCCGCAGAGACCACAAAGTCAGCCCTGCATCTTTAAACAGAAACAACAGATTTGGGTTCAATTAAAAATTCATTAAAATGCAAATTAGTTTGTAAATTTTTTCCCCTCCTTCTGACGATTTCTCAATGTGGCTTTTTAATCATAGCTGGTGCTAAAGTTGAGGTGAGCCCTGGGTGGATAGAAAGGAATATCTAGGGAGAGCCACAGCCCTGGAGCACCTCAGCAGGGTGTGCTTAACCCCTTCCTTACCCACCATACCTGTTTCCTCCCCAGAGAGGACCACTTTCATACTCTTACAAGGTGCTTGACGGATAAACTCAAATTGCTCTTCCCATCTCAGTCTCACTGTGTGATGTGATCATAACAGGGGATATGAATAATTGACATTCTCTGTGTACGTTCTCTGGCTACCTGGGCATCTTGTAGTAAGCTGATAATGTTTTTCATTGAAGAGTTCACCACTTGGGACTGCATTGAAATTTGCCCAGGGGGGCTCCAGCTATGACAACTGACCCTCCTCTGGGGCTTAACCAAGTAAAGTCTTTGTCAAACCCTCCAAAATACAGAAGTCACAGAGAAACTTCTATAGATGAATAACGAAGTTTGCTCTATGTGGAAAACAGAGGGTTTAAGCTTCCACACTCTGGCCAGTCTCCACAGCAACCTTATGAGTTCTATACATTGTCCTATCTAGCGTAAAAGTGGAGGTTGGAGGTCTTGAGGTGCTGTTCCAAATCACTGCTATGGTTTGAAAGTGTTCTGTACAATTCATGCATTGGCAACTTAATCCCCACATGTATATATGGATGGCATTTAGAGGGAGGCCCTTTGGGAGGTGATGAGATTCATCTGTTTGGAGGCTAATGGGTGAGTTATTTGGTTTCTTCAAGAGTGGCTTCATCATAAAAATGTTGGCTCTAGTGTTGCTTGCACTTTCTTGTCACGTGATGCCCTCCACCATAGCATGATGGGGTGAGAAGACCCTCAGCTGATACTGGGGACACAATCTGCCCCTTCCAGCTCCAGACCTTCGAGTTCAATAAATACTGTTCCTATTTTGTGTTTTGAATTTTTATTTATGTGTTTGTTGTTGTTGAGGGGAACACTGTCAAGAGATACTGTCCTAGTCGAGGGCTTTATTAAACGGACTTTTCGTCAGCGCACAAACGACGGGTTTCGATATGATGTGTTCGTGCGTGTACATGGTGTGTATTGCTTGTATTTGCCCTTCTTTCCCTTTCTTTCCACATCATTCCTTCTGCCTTCTCTCACTGGTCTCCCTTCTCTCACCAAATACTAATAGTCCCAAGTCCATTTCCTGGTGTGTGTGTGTGTGTGTGCGTGTGTGTGTGTGTGTGTGTGTGTGTGTGTGTGTGTGTGTGTGTTTAAATCGAGATTCTGCCTATAAGAGACAAACATGTGAGATCTGTCCTTTTAAGTCTAGATTTTTTTGCTTAGTATGATGATTTCCAATTTTGTTCAAAATTGTACAAATTACTTAATTTTGTCCCTCTTCACAGCTGAATAAAACTCCATTGTGTATATACACCACATTTTTTATCCATTCATCTGTTAACTGGACATCTATCTTGGTTTCATATCTTGAGTATTGTGGCCAATACTACACAAATGTGGATGTGTAAATAATTCTGTGGTATATTAACTTCCTTTGGGTTATATACCCAGGAGCCATATAGCTGGATCGGATCATGGTGTTCCAATTTTTTTATTATTATTTCCAAAGTGGCTCATTAGCCTACATTCCCCACCAACAGTCACTAAGTGTCCCTTTTCCCCTGCATCTTTCCAGCAACTAGTCTCATTCGTTTTCTCCATCTTAGCCATTCTGACAGGAGACAGATAGGCTCTCAATGCAGATTCCATTGCTGTTTTCCTGATAACTAAACATTCTCTTCTTCATAGATTACTCAGCCTCAAGAACTTATAGAACGAAAAATCAACTAAGATGGTCACATAACTAGAAAGCAATAGCCAGGACTTGAACCCATAAGTCCAGGATTCCACAGGCAAAGATCCTTACATTGCACTAATCAGCCACTCTTCATTGCCCTGTTTTCTTGCTCCAGCCTACTGTCTCGCTGATTTGACTGCTCTTCGGTTTTGCTGATCTTAAGACGGGCTAGATGCATCCCCTGATGCTGACTTCAAGAAAGGAAAGCTGGGCTGCCTCTGACTCAAAGAGAGATGTTCTCATCTTCCTGCTGACTGTGAGAAGTCAAGCAGTTACTCCAAGTTCATTAGATGTCCCTAATTGCCGAGAACACATTCAGGAAGTATGGCAAATGCAACTTAATTGAGAACTAATTAACTTGTTATAGTTATCTCATTATATGCCAATTACATGTCTAAATATTCCTTTCTTCCCAGATAAAGGAAGGGAGAAGTCCATGATGAGACTGGAACTCTGAATGAGAGAATTCCTGAGCAGGTCCTGGGTAGACTTCAACCCTGCAGGAACAGCAGTGAAGGCTCATGGGCCTGAAGTAGTCAAACTCATTAACACAGCTTTAAAGGAAGACGTTCAAAGGCACTGGGCAGCGTTTTGACTTTCAGATGAATTCTCCGTTAAATCTGGTGTGAAATGGGATTTGGTCACAAAGCCCCAAGAGATAGGACCTGGCAAAGGCTATTCCCAATCACCCAGCTTTTCTCTCGCTGTTTAAGGTTTGGGCTTTTTAAACCTTTGTGTACTTTTAATCTGTCCTCTTCTGAGGAAATTCAAGGAGACCTTGCATGTAACTGCATGCTGTTATCAGGAGCTTATTGCCAGGGTAGGCTCAGCATCCACCCAGCTCCCAGGTAATCATTGGCTTTTAATCTAGTTTCAGTGGCAATGCACTTGAACTCCTCCCTCTGCTGAGTTTCCAAATAAGCTCTACCAAAGAGAATCGCCAGGGGTGGGACTTCTGAGAGACACATCCCTCCTGGCCAGTAAAAGAAGGGGAAGGAGAGAACACCGTGCATTCTCCCACTCCCAGGGTTTACTTTCTGCTCTGATGGGTCTTCCTAAAGCGGGTCGGTTGAAATCACAGAGAAAAAAACAGTCGATTTCTTCCCATCAGAAACTCCCATCAACATCCAGACCTGGCAGATGAAGAGAGTCAGATTCTATTCTCACCGCCACGCCACCACAGGAAGTGATGGGCCAGCGAGCTTGGGCCTGTCTTGTTGAGATCAGTTGACTCTGTGAGGAACAGAGTGTATCTGGGTTTTCATCTTAATGAAAAGCAGGGATGACTGCTTTGAAACGCTCCACTTGATCCCCCAACCTTTCCAGCTTGACAGCTGGAGTGCTCGCCACATCTTTCTGGCTCCTGTCTCATTACAGAACCTCCCAAATGCATGAATCCCATGCTTTTCAATTTCTCGGGCCTCACAGTCGATGTTTATACTCTGGCCTGATGGCGTTAGCACTGTGTGTACCATCCTAGAGAGGAATTTGAATGCTGCTGGGGCACCAGGTCCATAGCAAGAGTTCCTTCCCTTCCCAGCCACCAAGCTGGACACCCAAACTCGCTTGCCCGTATATGTTTCTATAAAAGTACTTAATAGGATTTCTTAGCTCTAGGATTTCATAGCAACAACAAAACAATTAATTAAAAATGGTGAGTGTCCTCTGGAATTAAAATGATAGAGAACTTACTGTGTAGACAATTTGAACTTGGTGGACTCCACAAACTACAAATAGCCCGCAATGAGATCACAACAGGAGCTTCTAATTCCACCTCCCCCTAAAACCACTGTGGACCCCCCCAACTCAGTATCACTACATGATCACCCTCCACCTCAAACATCAGGGTTTTAGGAAATGTACTTCACTGCCTTGGTTCTGCTAGCAGGGTAACTTCTATTGAGTCTCCAACTATTTTTTTAATTGATTTTAATTTTAATTATGTATGTGTGTGTGCACACATGTGCACACATGAGTGCAGGTACCTGTGGAGGCCAGAAGAGGATCTCTTGAAGCTAGAGTTACAGGTGGTTGTCTGCTGCCTTACACAGACCTTGGGAACTGAACTCCAGGTCCTCTGCAAGAGCAGCGCATTGTCCTCACCCACTGAGTCGTCCGTGAGTCGCCAACTCTGTTGTTGTTTGTTTTTTACTCTTTTGGGGGGCCCGACACCCAGCTCCCAAATAAATCACACACGGAGGCTTATTCTTAATTATGAGGCTTATGCTCAGCCTTAGCTTGGTTTATTTCTAGCCAGCTTTCCTTAACTTAAAATCCCCCCGTCTGTCTTTCGCCTCTGGGCTTTTCCCGTTCTCTTACTTCTGTAAATCTTACTCTTACTTGGAGGCTGGCTGTGTAGCTGGGGGGCTGGCCCGTGGAGGTCTCCTCCTCCTCCTCTGGCTGCTAGCTCTCCTTTTCCAGATTTCTCCTTCTATTTATTCTCTCTGCCTGCCAGGCCCGCACATCCTTTCTCCTGCCTCGCCATTGGCCATTCAGCTCTTTATTAGACCACCAGGTGTTTTAGACAGGCACAGTAACACGGCTTCACAGAGTTAAACAAATGCAACACAAACAAAAGTAACACACCTTAAAATAATATTCTACAACACAACTCTGTTTTTATTCCACTGCAGTCTGTGCAGGGACAAGGTTTCTTTGTAACAAGCCCTTAATGTGGCACTCTTTGCTCAACGCGCTCAATCTCTGCTTGTGCATTTGTTCAAAGTTCACTCTAAGTACCGAGTATTTATCAACTGTATTGCTTTGCAAAGCGCCTGCCGCAGGTTACTCATTATGGCGAACGACTTCTCTGTCTGCTTTGCATGGCCCGCCAGCTCTCTGCCTGTGAGTCTCTCCTGTGAGCGCTCTGTTTTCTTTGGCCAGCTGCCTCTCCCTCAGCCCGGCATCCTCATGATTGGTGGTATATTTCAGATTCTCCCAGAGGGAGGAGTGGTAACTACTGGCTTGGGACAGCCATTAAAAGAGCTCCTCCATGGCATGGAAATGTGGTGAAAGAAGTGTTACCCAGGCTGTGCTGAGGTGGAGGAGGGTGGCTGTAGGGAGGTGTGGCTTTCTACTTGTAATTTTTTGCCAACCCTCCCTGCCTGCTGGAATCCCCTGGGGAGCACGGGGGGGGGGGAGGTGGAGTTGACTTCTCTGTCCCACTTCGAAGATCATGATGCAATTGTCTATCCCTAAGGTTGCTATGGGACTGTTTAGGCAGGTCCATAGGCAGCCTGAGCCAGGATTGGTTCTTCTTCCCCAGCTCCGGCAGAAAGGAGTCCACCAAGGAAAACTAAGATGAGCATTCAGGGGGAAACAAGTGTTCACCTCAAGTTCAAAGGATAAGCAGTGGGAGTGACATTCAGACTCAGAGCCAAGAGCTCAAAGGAGGTCAGAAATGGAGCACATGGTTAAAACAGCAGACAGAGGGGGCATAGGAGAAACCCAAGGGAAGCCCATTGAATCAGATCAAAGCATATGGCATCCAAGTGTGAGAGGGTCGTAACAAGAGCCATCATTCTGCACAACAGACATATGCTAAGAGCAATTAGGTAACTAAGAAACAAGAGCCACAATGATCCATGATGGTGGTGCCGAGCGCATGGTGGAGATGCAGCCCAGTCTTGAGGGCCTCAGGTATCCATAGCTGCACTGGTCAGCTTGATTTAAAGTCCAAGGCGGGACCCGTAGGGCTATGTGAACCCTGCTTGAAGCTATTGCCTGCCCTTCTGTCTACAGTAGCTACAGTCTGAACCATTTCATACCTGTGCTTCACAGATCATAATGACAGATATAATGGTATAAAATCATAGAGTGTCAGAGCTAGAAGAAATGGCTTCATCCAGCTGCCTGCACTACATCGAAATGAGATTCTTCCTTCCAAGGTCTCCGCTGAACTGTTTTAAAGTCTCAAGCTTGTAATGGCGAGCCGAAGTGGCTTGGATTTAGTAAGAAGATAGAAGGACCATCAGCTCCCTTAGTGCAGGATGGCATGAAATGGGAGACAGTCGATCTTTCAGTCAGACTTTCTCAAACCTAAGGGAGCTTATGAATTATCTAAGAAGGTGTATGTTCAGATGCATCCTTTGACCAGAGTCTGACTCAGTAGGTCCAGGATCAGACCCAAGAATCTGTTCTAATACAGGGTCCAGGAACATGTTTTAAGAAATGCCCATAAGAGTAAAGGAGTTACTAACTGACTACTGAGCAAAAGGGGAATGTTCCAGATTGGTAGTTTCCACCCCTGAATGCCCATTGAAATCACACAGGAAGTATTTTCAAGGGACAGAGTCAGATGGGGTAGTACAAACTTATAGTCCCAGTATCCGGAAAGCCAAGGCAGAAGAAGATCACAAGGTTGAGGTCAGGCTGCTATACAAAGCAAGCCTGAGACCGAGCTGAAAGGCTGGATCACATGCTAGTGGCTTAAAGCCATCCATAACTCCGGTTGCAGGGGACCTTTTGTGTTCTTCTGACCTCCAAGGGCACCTGGAATCCACGTGGTGCACATACTTACACACAGGCAAAACAATCTGCACATATTTTTTAACTTAGAAAGAAAAGAAAAAGAACAAAGGAAGGAAATATATACATATATATATATATAGAGAGAGAGAGAGACAGAGAGACAGAGAGACAGAGAGAGACAGAGAGACAGAGAGAGAAGTAGATAGGAAGGAAGGAAAGGGGAGCTGCCTGCAACCAGTGGTGAGGGCAAGGCTTGAGTGCAGCCTCTTGTTTTAGTAATTGAAATAAAAGCCCACACATTTTTGCAAAAGTTTATTAAGGCAAAGCAACAGAAAATATCAGAACAGTCTGCAGTGGAGAGGAAGGTCATATGAGTGAAATTACGCAGGGGCCCTGATTATCATCTGGGGCCAAGAGAAGGAGGAGCTTGGTTACTGAGGGGGTATAATGCAGGTGGTTCTGTTTTGATTAATAGATTAGGTCATAATAATCATTTTTCTACTTCCCAACATGCATCTGATTTTATACCTAATTATGCATAAGCAGAAGAGATTCTTCCCAGAAGTTTACTTAAAGGCCAGGTTACTAAATTATTCCTGTGTTTGCCTGATTCAGAAGGAAAAAGGGAGGGAGGCAGGGAGGGAAGAAAGGAAGGAAGGAAAAGAAAAGAATACTGATACCTTCATTTGAACATCTATGATAAAATACTATGGACTGATTAACTTATAAACAACAAAAATCTGTGTCTTACAATGGTGCCATGTAGGAATTGAATAACCAAGGATACAGGATCAGTGTATCAGGAGGACTGAGAACCATAAGCCACACTCCCTGGAGTGGGCAATAGAGAACCTTGCTGTAGGTAATCTCTCTTCATTCTCAGTTTCAGCATCCCCCTGCCTCTGAACACCTGGAAGTGAGAGGTGATTCTTCAGTTACCCTTACCCCACCTGCAAGTCTATGTGACCTGGCTCAGGTTACTTCTTTTCCCTCCACTAGGAGCCACAGCTTCCTCCTCCTGGAAAGTCCCTGAAGGTACCAGCTGCTTTCCTTCCCACCAGCCTCGGTGCTCCTGCTTCTTCTGGAACAGTCTCACCAGATGACGGGTT